TGTCACATGACTTCTTTATCGGTTAATTGATGGGAAGCTTCCTAGAGCTACATAGCTCCAATTGGCGAAACTTTTTTCTACCAGTGTTTCAGATAATGTTCCGCGGCCCGTCGAGGGCCTCGATATGCTACCCGTGCAGTATGTTTCTCCGGCAGATGCTTGTAATGTCGTACAAGAATTAAAGAAGAAGCAAGACCTTTGCTTGCTCCCTTCTCCATGGCCCTAGGTGTCATGGGAAGAGACTCATAGAAGACCACTGGAAGTCAGAAGTCATTGTTAACGCGTACGACATCGCCCTAACAACGGATAGCTGAAAAGAAATTCAGGTCAGTGCAAAAGGCCGAAATTGCTGCCAGAACGTGAGCTCCACATAGACCTCAAGAACACCAGGTTGCTGTGTTAAAGGGTAAAGAGACGATCGTAACCATGGGATCATCAAAACAGTGGAAGGCTACCGAAGCCTTGAAATCGATCCAACCGCTGAAGGTGATATAGACCACGTAAAGCACGGAGCAACCCAGGGTTGATCAAATGAAAGGACTCCACTGGAGTGCTCTGCTATGCTAATTAGAGAGTGTTCCAGAGCGCTCAAAGGGTAGTGTATCGGCCAGTGGTGAGATCTGCGACTTTATAAGGGATGAGCGCTGGCTTCCGAGCAAGAATCACGAAAGGCAGCTTCACTCCGCTGAGATGAGGATGCTGAGGATGGGCCTGCGGCTGGACGCGACTGGACAGGGTCAGAAACGAGGATGTCAGAGCGGTCATGCAGACTGCCCCTGTCCAGCTGAAGGTGTGGGAGCACCGCATGCGATGGTAAGGACATATACCAAGGAGGCAGCAGGACCAAGAAGCGACTTCTTAGAAAAACTGAGGATCCTGGTAGTGCGCTAGATTAAGAAAAAAAAAGATTCTAGAAAGATCACGGCATTTTTTTCTTCCCTGAATCTACTTTTTTCGGAGCGTCTACCCTTCAAAGGTGATGACAAATGAAAGCGTACCAGCTCACATGTAAGAGTATACAGCGTTCCTTTCGTGACAAGGTCATCTTTGTTCTTACAGTATTTTGAGAGGGACTCTACTCTTCACACGCAAGCGGAAAGTCGTGATCCTTATTTTATGTATATCTTAACATCCTTTGCTCCGAGCTCAGCACAGAACGCGAGGAATTTGGACCTGCTGAAGTTCCAAAACGACCAAACGTCCTCATGCACGCTTGAAGAAATGCCGAACCCTTTGCTTTCAGAGATGGGAATGAAGGAGATATAGCTTCCAGCTTCAAGAAGCCAGGAATCGAGATTCATGAGAAAGGCACCTCAAATGTTACTCTAATAGTTCCAGCAACGAGTTAAGCACATAATTGATGAGAAACTCTGAAGACAATATACTCTATACATTTTGGCTTGTTTTTATTGGATAACTGCTGTAACTGTAATTAATAATTGTGTAACTGGTAGCACAATTGCCCGGAAAGCAAGAGATCCGGGTACGAATCCCGGCTGGGGCGAAAGTTTTGCCCACAACTCAGCATTCTTGTGATACTCTATACATTTATGGGTCACCAACCATATGCAGTAGGGGTCAAAAACATTTTTGGCTTGGACCTAGCGCAGCTAATAAGCAACGAAATTGCCTTAAATCCACAACCTATAGTATACAAAATTAAGTTTAGAATACAATGTGCAACATAATTCTTCCAAAATCGAGATCGTAATCGAAAACTACGGTTTTTTGAAAAGTGGCGCGTCAGAAGTTTGGAAACTCCACAATTCAGTAGGTCAGAGCGAATTCAGTACAACAGCATTCGAAAAAAAAATGAGAAAGTAATAACGTGTTGAGTCGTTGTGCAGTCCGACGATGGAACTGCCTTTTACCGATGTTAAACTGATCAGAAGATCATTTCCGAGCTCTTAATTCCGAAGACTACATTTTGCGCACAACGTCAAACATACTGGTGATTTTTTTACGGGCGTATGGAATGTACGAAATGCAATCCCTACTTTGGTATGCGCACAGCTCAGTCAGAACTCACAAGGGAAGGTCGTTCAGGGTGTGCCAAGCTTTTTCAAAGTGGTTTCTTGCATGACATTTTCCGAACTTCCGGTTCGATTCCTCGTGGTGACAAATTTTTGCATTTCGAGTTGACGTTTCAAAATTCGCGCAAAATGGAGTTAGCATGAATAATTAGTACCATATTCATGATTAGGACCGTCAGTAACCCTTACAAATAGACTTTGATTGAAAAACTGGTGAAAAAGGTGTGACTAGGGACCCCCTTTTCTGGTATTCAGAGGGCCGTTCAGGAAAAATTGGTTCTGTGGTTCCCGCATGTGCCTCTATATCATGCAAAAGACCGTTTTGAAAAAGCTTGGCACACCCTGAACGACCTTCCTTGTGAGATCTTGGCTTTTTCGGTTCAGCAATTTTTTGGGTTCAGAAAGGCGGCAGTTAAAAGGTATACCTGCATCGAATTCATTGTCGTCATCGAAAACCCATATTTTCAGCTCGATCTGACTATCGAAGAGAAGCGTTGCATTTTTCAGACTATCCTTGTATTGGGTTGGAGCATAATACCGTAGCGTTTTTTTGAGCGTACAAATCCAGTCAGTACAAGTATCCTCCAAAAAACTGCTCATAGGGATTTGAAGCAGTTCTTCTCGTTCTACGAAACGTGGTTTTTCTTGACACCTGTACATTAGTAGTATTTGAGTTTTAGAGGTTAGAAGTTGGGAAATCCAGGCGGCAAAAATCGGCGTTTCGACAGCTGCTATTTCTCGGTTTGAAAAAAAAGAAGAAAAACGCCGAATTGGAAGTTCTTTCAAATCCATTCTCCTAAACAAACCTTGCTCTATCCGGCAACACCTATTCGCTCTTCAAGTCAGAACCCTATTAATTTCGTGCAAATTGAGAATAAGAAGGACCCCGAAAGTGAGCTCAATATTTTTTTTTTTTAAATTCTACGTCCGGTGATCTCGTGCGAAATGCAGTCGAAGTTGTAAATAATGACGAAGCGAAGACCACTGATTAGTTTTGTGAGTTTTATTTTTTGCTTCAAATGTTTGTGTGAAGAAATGAAAAATACAGCGCTACGATATTATGCTCTAACCCCAATATTTATTCTTCCCACTGCGATCTGATCTAGATGGGAAAATGCCGAAGATCTCCACGTGCGCATCTGTCAATACATTCTGATAACATTTACTATTTCTGAAAGCTAAAATCTTATACCTAAAATTAGGCTTGTTCTGAAACTGAAATTCTGTGCAATACTCAAAAGTTTAGGGCTCGATTTCCAAGAGGACAGCAACTCGACGTCGCTAAGCACGTTTTTAGCGCTCATGTTTGGACCAATCCGGTAATATGCGGAAACCAGTGGAGCCTTCAACCTATTAATGAAGCTTCAACAAATGGCTTCTTGATGGAGTATATCTATATCGGTCGACGTTGAGCAGCCCTTGGACTTCCATTTTTTAAACGAAAACTCGTAAGAGTCATTTCTTGGTTGGGTCGGGAAACGAAAAATTTTGACCCCTCTGCGATATTCTTCAAAAAATGGCACTTTTCTTCAAGAGGCCAGCATTAGTGAAGGGACTATCTCTCTACGCTGCTAATGCTAAAAAATCTGAACAACAGCACTTTCTTAGAGGTTGAATTACTGAGAAACATCCTTCCTTAGGTTCAGAAACCTTTCCGCATGGTATGCTTCTTTTGAACATGGTACCATTTTAAATGCATGTTATTAGCTATTTCTGACACTCCAAAGCAAGCACGTAAAAAAACATTTAACATAAGATTTAGTAAATTGGGTATGATGAGGGGCGAAAGAAAGTTTTCGAACTTCTGACTGCAATGGTTTTAAAATGTAGTGGGCATGATATTTTTTCGACCTGGGTATTATTACTTTGCAAACCACATATAACACTTGATTCTTGTGCAATATATGATATTTTTAGATTTAATTTACTTATGCTTGGCGCCTTACCTAAACCCGCGACATGATCAGAAATCTATTAAAAAAGCCACGTCGCTCGGGTCGCTATGTTTTCAAACTTCTCACGGGCTGTTGTGCGTCCGCGATTTGGCCCCAAAGAAAACTGTTAAGAAGCAGATATCGGTACCGGTGAGAGGCGCACAGCATGCCGATTTTTATATTCGAAGGCTTGTTTCAACCGATAGTTAGTCGTTTGTGAATGAAGAGAGTTTCAGACGAAGTTAGTGGTGTGGTTTTCGATGCTGGATCGCACAGCTTACGCGTCGGATTCGCTGGAGAGGAATACCCAAAGGTATTTTTATACACTTTTTTTCTTTGAAATCCATACGAAATAAGGGACAATAGTGCTCTAGATCCTATTATATGAACCGCTAACTTGGTGTGTCGGTTTGTAAGTACAGTCCACATCCGAGAGTTGGGGTAGGCGTGTCCTGGTAGGTGACGAGGCCGCTGCCGCGCAATTGATAAAAGTTGCGTGGATAAGCTGTTGCTAGCATGATTTGCTGATATCCAGCGATGTATGTTGGAAGCAGCTTACACGCGCGACATCCATCAAGTGCGGGATGCTGCCGCTGAGCAGGTTGGGTTACTAGGACGAAAGCGATTTCGCGTTTTCGCATGGTACAAACTTTTGGCTGACGGGTAATTCAGATCAACCTCGATCATCAGTGGGCCCAGCTTTTGCGAGCGAAAAACTGTTTCGCGCTGCGAACAGAAGCGTATCGCTAAAGTACAGTCGATATCCGAAAGTTGGGGTAGGCGTGTCACCGGAAGTGACGTGCACTTGATAGAAGTTGCGTGGATAAGCTGTTGCCAGCATGCTTTGCTGATATCCAGCGATGTATGTTGGAAGCAGCTTATCCACATAGCTTCTATCAAGTGCACGTCACTTCCGGTGACACGCCTACCCCAACTCTCGGATAGTCGAGTATATGTGGCATATTTACGGCTGTCTTGTCCGGCCCACAAAAGGGGGTGATAGGAAGCTATGAAATGCACAAATTGCTAACAAAGTCGGGTAGTTGGCAGGGCTAGAGCTTTCAATGTTTTGCCGTGGCGTGATTTGATAACACTCACGGTAGCAGTATAAACATTCGGCATCATTCTCTTTGATCGCTTCCGAATTGTGCTGCACTGCACGGGGGGGGGGCGGACTGGAGGCTTTGGGGCAAATAACACATTTTTGCATTTGTCGATCAGCGTCACCACCACTGCAGGCTGTTTATGTGTCTAGATAGGAACTAGCGGAAGGCGCAATGGCTTGCAGGGAAGGAGATGTGGCGCGTTGCGGGACCAATCTAGGTTGGACGTGAATTGCGTATGAGTTCAGCGGCGACATCTTCTTACGGGCGGTCCAAGAAGTGTTGAAGCGATGAGGACTTTGTGGAAAGATTAAGAGGAGCAAGAATTGAGGTATGTAAAAGGAAGAACCGAAACATGTTGGTCATCTTGAAAACGTAGTTGTTCCTCGGCCGAGAACTACCATTCAGAGTTTGAAGCGATGGATGATGAGTGGGGAGTGTGCTGTACATTCTTTATGCTTGTTTTCGGTTTGAATAAAGTAGTATCTGTATGCTCCTCTACGCTAAGTTCAGCGGGCAGCTTCGAAGTGTTCTTCCTTTACAGTTGACGACTGGGAAATGTTCGAAAATCTTTTGGATTACTCATACAGTGAAGTTCTCCATAGTGAAACTCAGTATCATCCTGCATTATTCACTGAGAGTGCGGTGAGTGAAGTCTTGTTCGTGCAAACGCTCTTTTCGGCCACTCTCCAACTACTATTCAAAAATAATTTTAGTGGAATGATAAAACGAAACGAGAGCGTTTGACGGAGCTGATGTTCGAGAAAGTACAATATTCCAGCGTTCTTTTTGTGCAAAAATGCTGTTCTAACAGCGTGAGTTGGTTTTGAGTTTAAACTCTCCTAACTTCTTGTTTTTTTACGAGTATTAACTTGATCTTGAAATTCGCGCATTTTGGACTGTCAATCATGTAGTAGCTTGGTACACACTGGAGGTCGACGATGGAATGTGATCCCTATGGATTGGTGGCTTATCTCTTTCTGGGGCCGTTCAATCCTCCCCCCCCCCAGGGGGATATATCCCCTCTCTGATTCAATCCTCTGGGGGGACAAAAAAGGGTTGCGTCATAGGACCTCGCATACCTCTGTGTTTCTACCTGCCAGACAGTTAGAGCAGCGCGACCCCTCAGGGAAAGAGTGCTTCAACTGTGGAGGGTAGTCGCCCTCCACAGTTGAAGCATTCCTTGGGTAAAGGCTTCAATTCGGCCCCTGATTTTCCTTCGTTCACCAAGAATGGTAAACGTACACGCGGAAAAAGAATCTTTTTGATTTTTACGTCACAAAATTTTGAGGAAGAAAGGGCCAGGAGGTATGGAGAGAGGCTAGCGATTGGCAAATCCATGTCATTTGGGACGATACGGTTTGTGGGCATTAGGATAAAAAAAACAGCTATTTATTAAAATATTTATTCATAGACGCAGAATATCTGCGTGGTAAGTACAACCAAAGTAGATTACAATAGAAGCACAAAGCGAGTGGGCATCATCAAACATAGAAACAGATGAAAATCAGTACATCAGCCATGTCTTATACTGTTTCAAGAAACTTCCGCATTGATTAATTTAATGGCTCTTTTACGAAATGAACTAAGGGACAAGCGTAGCATATCCTGATTGAATATTTTATTTAGGAAAGGTAGTACTCTGATTGCAAAGAATTTCGCTCTGACCTGGGATCTCACTACAGGACGTCTTATTTTTATGGTACTACCCCTAGTCCTAGATCGCACAAAAGTGAAAAAGTCTGTGGGATTAAGAGCTACTTTTCTAGTCAGAATTTTGAAAGCCATTATGAGATCATTAACTAATCTTCTTTTGACTAGAGACGTTAAGGCGTAGTATCGCCGCCTTTCAGCTGCACTTGGTAAAGACTCATAACTGAGTCCAGAGCAACGAAGGGTAAGTTTTCGAGTAAAGTTATTCTGACACACGTTCTAGCAGAACAATATCCTTTTTCTTATAGGGAGAGAATATAGCAGTACCAGACTCAACTATTGGTCTTACATAGGCCTTATAAGCTTTCAGTAATACTGTTGAATCTTTCGTCTGGAGAGCTTTGAATAAGTTGAAAACTCTATTGTTTGCTTTAGTAACCAATGATTTGTAGTGTGTGTCAAAGCTCAATTTATTAGAGAACGTGAAACCAAGGTCTTTAATTTCTTTAACGGACTCTAAGTGAACTGGACCAATTTTTGTAGCTATGAGTGATAACATCATTACCGATGCAGAATACCTTAGTTTTTTCTGGGGCTAAAGGTAAACTCCCATTTCTCAGACCAATCCACAATATGATCAATAGCTGCTTGTAGCTTGTCACAATCAGATTTACTTTCAACAACTTTGTACAGTTTGATATCATCGGCATACATTACAGATGATACTTGAAATTTTGACAAAGAACTGGGAAGATCTGCGTATATATAAGAAATAGAATGGGGGACAATACTCCACGGATCACAGGAATATTATCCTGATAAAACCTCTAAGAATCTGTCTTGTTATGCTGATTCGTCTTAGTAAGCCCTTGTGATACTCCTCCCTGACACCACGCTATGGCTGCTATGAATAGTTGTGGTTATCGTGTTTGATTTATTCGAAAAGTGGAGCCAGGTTCAGGTTTGGGCAAATAGGCCGTACCACGGTCTCGCATGTATGAAGAGAGGAGGTGCACGACACAAACTCCGCAGTTCCTAGTCTACGCAAATGGCTTATGCTGTAACTCATCGGTATTAACATTCTAAAACACATGCATACTATCTCGAACTCCTATTTCCACATTCCTTCTGCGTTATATAAGAAATTTCAGCCGTCAGAGAGCTCACGAGAGCATACTCAATCGGTGGTGATGTGATATGCGAGCAGCTGCAGCACATGTTGGATGAACAGAATATAGAAGTAGTGCCTATTTATAAAATTGGTGGAAAGGTGAGCACTCATAATAGAGTGTACACTAAGGTCAAACTCGTATAACTTCGTATAATATAATCTTAACAAAACCAAACATTGGAGTAAAATAGATTTTGTTACATCTTGGGTCCAAAGTTGTCTGCTATAAGGTTTTTGCACAACGGCAAGCAAAATACTAGCTTAGGGCTTTGCTCTACAAATGGACTATTGGCATGTCTAAAACCAAGGTAGAATTTGTCGACGACTCGGTTTGATCCACAGTCTTGGAGTAGGAGTAGAGATATATGATTCATATCTTCTTCGCCCATATGGAAGCTTCGGATGAGTCGCAGATATTGCCAAAACCGATTTATTTTTTGTGTTTCGAAGAGATGTAATATTAAATCACTAATTCACTTATTTGCGCGGACTATCTATTAAGGAAGAAGTTAATGAGAACGAGCCACCTCGTTGGACTAAAAGAAAAAACCTGCCCGAGGTTACAGAGAGCTATGATAAGTTCATGAAGAAACAGGTAAGGTACATATGCCTTCTTTGTTGGAATAAACAACATGTTTCTGAACAATCCAGCTGCTCGAGGATATGGCAGTTGTCCGTTTTTTGGCAATTGTGTGAATACAACCGCCTATGATGCAAGCAATACGCATGAAGAAATTACCGTCTGTCAACGTATTCTTTTCCCATGGTTGTCAACTACCAGGTACGCATCTTTTTAATTTGTCTGTGGTCTTTTTTTTCGCAGTCAAGCGGATAGCGCTTAAATACTTTGAGTGTGGGTTATAATTTTCGTTGTGATTTCGTTTTTGAATCTCTTAATGTAAAAAGAACACAAGGTTATAGTTCGCGCGAAGTATTACCAGGGATCTCCACTTACGTTTATTCTCCTTTTGTGAGGGTCCGAAAGTGACTGTTATTGCTATGTAAAAAAACTTAAAGACTCAGTTGGTTGTCTAATTTTTCTTCAAACAATGCAATGTTTCGCGCAAAATTACTTTTTGTGAACCTTGATTTCCTTGTGAAAATATGGCCGTCGAATAGCGCGTGCATAGAATTTGGTAAGCAGTAACAGACATCATTTTTGCAATAAATCCGCTCACTTCACTACAACTGAGTAACCTCGTAAAAACTGTTTTTTGTAGGAGTTTCTTGCTGAGCGCATAAAAGTGCCGGAAAGCCTTTTTGATCTCAAGTATCTTCGTAATATGCCGGCAACTCAGTCAACTTTACTCAATGTGACGCAGATAGCTACTACTGCAGCAGGAATGTGCGATATCGACATACGACCGGTATCACCTTTGTATTGCGGACGTACCAAGCCAATTACTTACAGAAGTTGTTAATTGTAATTTGCTTTCAGACATTATACAGTGGTCTCATGGTTACTGGTGGAAATTCACTCATTCTTGGCTTCACCGAACGGCTCAATCATGATCTGGCACACAAGTGCCCTCCAGTAAGTTTTTTTTTCCTTTAAGCTAATCTGGGCGGTCAAACAGTATCAGCTAGTTGAATGGGTTTCATGGTAGTACTCATACTTGCACTCATTTCCTCTTATTTAGTGTTCCTTAACTGGTTTCACTTCTACTCTGACATAGGCCGATGTCAGACTTTGCGAATCCAGCGAATCGCTGGATGCGAGCGTTGCACCAGCGAATCGAGCTGTGTACCAGCGGATCGAACGATGTACCAGCGACACACTGTTTGAAAGTGGCGGGACTCCCTCTCGTTTGCATGTTGACTCTCGCCACTTTCCCGAGCTCTCATCCTCTCACTCTCTCATGCCCTCGTGAGTCCGGAAAAGTGGCGAGAGCCAACGTTCAAAGGAAGTCCCGCCACTTTCAAACAGTGTCGAGTCGCTGGTACATCGTTCGATCCGCTGGCACACAGTTCGATTCGCTGGTGCAACGCCCGCGGTTCGCTAGCGAATCCCTGGATTCGCAAAGTCTGACATCGACCATAGTCCTCTTCGCGCAGATTCTCCCGCAAATTGGAGGCTGTGAACTCTTTAGACGATGAAATCTGGATGATATCTCTTTTCGTTTTTAGACCATTAAACTTCGTGTGTCTGCCGCGCCCACACCTATGGAGAGGCGGTTTGGTGCTTGGATTGGCGGGTCAATCTTGGGATCACTGGTTTGTTTCTTAGACAATTTGCTAACCTAATTTCCCGTCTCTTTTTTTTTTTTTATTTTAATTTGAGTTTTACGCTATTTTCTGAAACACCTCCGTTACATAGCGCTTTAGGAATTCAAAACAGAGGGGTGATGAGATTGAGGTTGAAGTTATAGTTAGATTTTGAAACAGTTATATTGGGTCTTTTCTTTCTGTTTGGCGTTACCTCACCTCACGTCTTCTGTTGTGGTAAATGATTTTTTCATTTTTTGTCTGAAGGAAGAATATCCCTATTTTGAATTCCACCTCGTATTGATCACATATTCTTAGGGATCTTTTCAACAAATGTGGATTGCAAAGTCGGAATATGAAGAAACTGGACGGACTATCGTTGAAAATCGATGTCCTTGAAAACAGATTTATTGATTTAATGTGCACTCGTTTGTTTCCTCTCCTCTTTTGTTGTTTCCTCATGTAACGATAGGGTTCATCATGTTGAATTTGCTCTTAACTAATTTTAATTATTTCCATTACGTTATAGTTTACATTAGTACTGGAGCCTTTGGTATTTTAAGTCGATCTCTATCAGATTTGAACTGTTAACTTTTTTAATTTGAACTTTTCAGTCACTGCTCTTGTATATATGATCTTCAGTAAACCGTTGATCTTGTTGTTTTGTTGACTAATGGGTGTTCAGCGTCACAAATATGTGGTCGAAAACAATAACTTCCACGTGTAAAAACAAGCAAAGGGCTTTTCAGATGTGGCTTTCGCGGAAGGTAGATTGCGCTGCTAAGGATGAAGTTCTATTCATGACTTCAGAAAAGCACTCTGAACCACTCTCGGAAGAATGTACCTGGATGAACATGCTTAAAGTATTCAAAAAGCCTATAGGTGATTGCAAACAGTTCATTATCCAACTTAAAAATTCAACAAACTACTGTAAATCTGGAGGCCCTAGGTTTCCGGATGGATCAATCAACTGCAAGCCCTTGCATTCCGGAGGTTCACAAGTCGCTCATAGGTTTTCCCTGCCTTTCTTAATACATCGTTTTGTTGCAGCGCCAATCGACTTTTTTTCCTGAGCAAGCTCCGAAATTTCTTTGTCTTTTTCGGGTTGAGAGGCTCTGGTTTCAAAATTTACTGGAAATCCAAAACCTGTTCAAAATGAACTATTACTGGATTGTTTCTATTGAAGGGAATAGGATCGAAGTTACGCATCGACTATGCATACGCATGCATATTAAATCCGATTTGCATAGAATCAGCTTGAGGCTAAGACCAGGCAGTTTACCTATTTATTGCTGTGACTCCAGCCATACCTTTTCTGCCTCTAGGGTGCATATCATGGAAGAAATCTGTATCAACTTTAGCATTGCACTCTGTTAACTTCTACGCTTCTGAGCTGACACGAAAAGAAACGAAGATGAAAACTGAACATATGAATATATGTCTTGTCTAGAGTTTTCATAGAGGGCAGGCAGAATTGCCAGGATTTTTTCTCTTCAAATTCGGATATCTGAAAACGCAAAACATTGTAACAGAACAGAACAGTCAAATAGATGGATAATATGTGTACTGCTTGGATTGCTTCTATAGCCGTAACCAAGATGTGTAATCACTATTGGCTAACGTTTCGGCCGTGCTGCCTCGTCAGAGACTCTGATCACAACAACAGGTCACTAGTTACGATCACCGCTGTTGCTCGATGGATGAATATGCTCTTCAACTTTATATTTTTGAAAGGTGGAATACCCATTACTGGTTAAATAGAGAATGCTTTAGAAACTCTTTCAGAATTGAAGTACCTTTGCCATTTTTAGCCCGATGTAACGGCATTGTTCTGTGAAGGGCATTGCTCTTTAAGCGCGCAGATTTCTAGTGAATTCCTAATGTGCACCAATGAATAACGGGGAGTTTGGGTATAGCTCGCTAGGGCAGGCACCAACTTTTCCGCTTTTGCAGCGCGAATTTTTTCTCTGCGAATGCGAGGTCCACTTCTGATCATTGATGGAGCTGAGGTTCCCGTAGTGAAGGAAAAGTTCCGCTTGCGAAAAGCGGAAAGGTCGCTTTCTGTTCTGGCGAACCACACCCGGAGTTTCTCAGTCTCTGGTTGCGCTGCGCATTCTTCTTCTAGTCGGCACGGAAGAAGGTTGTAGTGTATAACACTCGAAAAGCATTAGATACATATCGATCGTCTGGCCCGATCGAACACGTGGAATCGGACGGTTGATACGTATCGTTGCGGTCGTTACGATCAAACGACCGACTATGGAAGCGCCCCTAGACAAAAAGTTATTTGAAATAGGAGGCCAGTCAGTTATCAGTTATAGTTTCAGATGTGGCCATCTTTTTCGACCTCTCTACATTTGTATGTCCAATGACGAAAAGGAGGACAGCTCTATAAAATGTCCTGAAGAATTCGTTGACTGGGTAGCTTGTATGCAGAACCTGAGTGGTATGTTGCTCTAAAAATCGTTTACATCTTTTCCGCAGCTTTTTTTGGGATTCCATTTCAGAAGAGCGAAGATTACAAATGAAATCTCACCTCCTTGAGCCCAAGGAGAAGGAGGAGTCGTGACGGCGGTCTGAAGACGATCCATTTAGAGCTTGTTTATTTGTTACTAATTTACATGTCACTGCTATAATTTAATGTCAATACTGTACGATAAATAACTTTATCCGTGTTAGGGTTTTGAAATCATTCTGTTGTTTATCAGTGCTTATTTCATACATTGAATTCGTATTCGGTCACAAGGTAACGCTTTTTTGTTTTGTTGAAGGTTCTCATTCAGGTATGGAAGAGAAGCATGCGGTGCATTTCATGACCAAGAAGGATCTCCTGGAGCCTTTAGCCGCGGACTTGAAGCACTTGCTTGAACCCAGGAAGGATGAGCCAAGTGAGCTTTGTTCTTAATGTGACGCAAATCGGTGGGAGACTTCGTTTAGAGATCAGTAGACAGATGCATAAACGAGACTTCGAACAATAAGCCTCTGAATGCTCAACTTGTTGTGTAGTCAGGGGTTCAGGGCGCATTCTTAGTCGTCCAGACGTAACGATACATTGGATGCAAACCGATCGTGACGTTTCCGCGGGACGACCGATACGTATTTAACGCTGTACGATCGTCACAATCGGACAACCGATTATGCACGCCCTCAGTTGTCGCTCCTCGTTTATAATCGGCAGTTCTGGCGTATGACTCGGAACAATCGCAAGAAATTGAAGGAGTTTCTATACGCAACCGGCAGACCGCTTTATGGAAAGGATTCTCTTTCGTCTATATTCTTACCGTTTCTCTCGTTCTTGTCCAGCAGGCGTGTACCAAGCGCCTTGAAGGGCTACAGCCTGGCGTTTCACCGCGCTCGCCGCAGGCGCGCCTCTTTTCTTTTTTAAGCACTGACGCATTCAACCTTTCTTGTAGAGAGATAGAGACAGAAAGCATTCAGTTGATGACGTAAAGCACCAGTGGAGCTCGCCTCGGAAAACTAGGAGGGAAGCCCACAGCAGACAAATGAACGTGAATAGCTACAACGTACATCTTGCTGGTACGGCAATGGGCTTAACCTGAAGGTGTGATGTTGCAGTAAATTTTTTTCACCAATACTCACTGGGATCCAGTAGCATACGGAACAGCTTATTTTTTCTCAAAAAATGTTTTCCAGCATCATTTCTAGCTGACGGTCGTATTAACGAGGAATGCACATGTCTTCATTCAGCCCTAGCTCACCGATGCGGTCACCTTATGCGTGAAGCCGTCCGGTAAGATCGTTTCGAACCTTTATTTTATGCCTATTTCCATGAATAAACACCCTTTCACCCTCGTGAAGAAAGCTCTATTCCAATTTGTTATTGAATTCTCTGTCCAGTGGAGATGTGGGATTTTTCATCAGATTAGAGGGTATGAGAAGGAAATGCCTTCGGAGAAATATGAACTCGGAATTACCTTACCCCATTTTTTGGCTTGTTGCTTGTCACAAACTTCTTAAAGCAACAGTCCAGGCAGGGTTTCAACTACTTGGTCATTAGGCGGTCAAAACATGCCCCAGCCCAACTAAAGTTTATAGGAAATGTCTTTAAGTTCAAAACCTACCTCTAAAATGCGCTGGAAGGGGTCGAAGTCCTCTTGGAGGGGGCGGATCACCCATACCGAGGCGGATCGCTCAACATACGCTGTGCAGAGTCCGTGCTTGACTAGCGGTCGTTGCGGGACCGCCGCGCTGTATGAGGTCGATTCCATAAGAACGCAATTGAAGCGCTTCAATTTCGATTGCTGGCAAATAGTTATGTATTTGCAAGCATGCATGGCTATTTGCCAGCAGTTGCAATTGGAGCGCATGTACTACGGGCAGGTTCGGACAACTCGTCCAACACACGTCTCCCTAAACGGCAGGGGGAGTCCCTGTCTAAGCCCCTGCCCGACGTTTTTTTCTACTTTTTCTTTCTCCATTGACCAACTTCTCACCTGCAACGTCATTATAGGTGGTCCTTACCCGCGAATTCGTTCCTGGATTGTTGCTTTAATAAGGCGAAGCAAGGATGAGGACTTGCAATATATTTTGATGCTTTGCATTTCACACCACTTCTCGTCTTTAGCAATTCTGCCGAAAATAATTTAGGTGTTTCAATTCGTCTACAGTAACACCTCGTGGTGCTGACTGTGAAGAATATTTCATACGGCAGGCCAAATGTGTGAAAAAGTACGGTGGCTTCAAGGACTGAGGTTGCCGTGCATTTTCTTTCTGTAAATTCATATCTTCTTTGTGGGGTCACTGGGGTGATGATGAACGTTACAAGGAGTGATAAAACGTGTCGGGTTCCTGCTTCTATGGGTGATTTGTGATTCTCTTGTACGTAATTTTTGAGAATTGATAGCTTCTCTTTCCCACTTTTTGCTCAATGAGAATTGATCATGTACTAGGTTTCGTGCTTTCTTGTAGCCTCAATGGTAACTTACTCGTGTACCTCAAAGGACTTTCGTCCTTAAAAGAGATGACATGTATAATAACTCAATAAATTTATATCAATATTACATGTATTGTTTTTTATACCTCACTCCTTTTTAGCCTTTTTAGATCTACAGCAACACCTCAGGAACACAAATTTTAAGGTTTTGTAGACAATAAGTAGGGTTATGAAGAGTACTGATAGCAGGGCTGCTATGACATCTATAGAGTAGTACTGGATGATGTTGAGTTTTGTTCCTGCTGGCACCAGGTTGTCGAGGGTCTTGAATTCAGCTACAAACTCTGTCCATTTGATGAGAAGATGTTCTGGACTGACTGGCTTCTTCTGGACCATCAACGACAAACGTTTCGCGTTGCGGGAATACATGAAAAACATATGATTACTCATGCAAAAATTCAGCAATATCTTTATATCTATTTATATATCATCTATACTTACTTATCGTTCTCTAAAACTTCCTTGACAGCAGCATATATAGAGTCTCTTCCGGCTGACGTTCCCCTTTTTTGACGTTCACCGCAAAACCGTGTTTGAAGGCGATTTTGGAGTTTTTGAACTGGTCGCCGAAAAGAGCGATAGTGATGAGGGGAACACCCGCATTGATTGCTTCCTTAATGAAATCGGAGTTAGTAGTGAAGTCGAAGTGGAAGTGGTTTCATTCCACTTGTCTTGTTTTGAGTAAACAACTGATCGCAGAGGTAAGCCGTAGAATAAGAGGAAAAAATTAACCTTGGTAGCGGACTCATGTTAGTGAGCCTCTAAGAGTTTTTGATTCTTAGGTCACGCTTTCAATTAAGACTTGGATCCTCATCCGATCCACTATTTGAATAAATCTGAACGCTGTAGGCCGCGCAGCTCACGGAAAGCAATAAGGGTGAGAATGTCGAAAAAAGGCGAATGGCCCGCATTCGCTTCTTATGATTTGGAAGCAGAGCTTGGACGGACGCTTTGCTCTAGCGATTAACCTTCTGCGCCCTCTCGCGGTCAAGTACATGTTGTCAATAGAAAGAAATCTTTATACATAGATGCACCGTGAAGTCATCTACAAGCCATATCGCTTTCAAGATGCCACTACGTTTCGGAATCAAAGCCGAGATAGTGTGAGCAATTCATGTAAGCAGGGTGAATATCGCTTGAGGATTCCTCAACGGCACGTCGAGGATTCTCTGCCCGGTCAGACACGATCTCTCGCGCGGACATTCACACTCGCCATGCCGTGCCGTCTGTGCTCTCCGCGCGGATGTTCACTCTCGGCACTACTCTCGCATGGTAGAGAGCTATGGTCGAGGAAATCCTCGACCGTTATTCACCCTGCTTGGAGGACTTGTTTACATTTGGAGTTTTATTCTATATTCGCCTTATCCAAGGTGGCATGTTAATTAAGTTTATGTGGACCGGATTCTCACTGTTGAATGATATAGGACAGAAACGATCTGATCTGACTCATGACTAGTCTTTCTTCGAATTAATTAGAAATCGTACCTGAAGACTGTTGTATCCACCATGTGAAATGAAGGCTTTTGTTTTCGGATGCAGAAGGAGATCAGTTCTGAGGTAACCATGAGAACGTGTGCACATTGGGCGGAAGTTTATCTGAAAGGGGCGTGGTAGCGAAACTTTCGGGATCTTTCATTTACCCCTCCCTACCCCGTAGGGCGTTATATGCTACTTGACTAAATAAGTCTCCTATTACGGCGCACAGTCTATATTTCTACTCGACTCTTCGATCAGTGACTAAGATGCTCAGAAACCTCTTGTTCAAATTGGAGTTTGCCATCGCCATTTTACTGTTGGCATTACAAGCATTTGATGCTAACAAGTTCATACAATGAATCGCGCTAGTCTCAGCAACCTGCTAAGTGTCAACTTTCCCAAAATTGTTGGAATACATTCATATTATACTTTATCAAAACGTGAAGTGCAGTGATACGCAAGACACTTTTTCGCCATGGCTTAGAAATTTGGAATTTTAACTTTCAAAAAACTGAGAAACGAAGAAGCCTATGGTCGAAACGAAAAAAAATTGGCTTTTGGTGTGACTTTATACAATCTTCCTCTGAAAAGTTCGAACAAGCCAGCTTCAAAGGAGACTCTGACATGACATCATATCACACGGTCCCGCGCGGCTGAAGTAGTGTGACACGGCATCATGTCACACAGTCCCACGCGACTGAAAGAGTGTGACACGGTATCATGTCACGGTCCCGCGCGGCTGAAGGAGCGGTGAAGATGACATATGCTATATGCATCGTCTACGTCTGTCAACGATCGTCAGCGGTTGTTAGAAGGCCAAGCGGAAAGCCGTGACACGGTGCTGGTCGGAAACAGTC